TTGGAGCCACATGCTCATGAACAAGGACATGTGGATTTGTCTTCCGCAAAATCAATATTGCAACATTGTCTTCAATCACAGGCAAGCAAACAGTCCTGCAACTGCTTTTGAAATTGCTCAATCAGGATGTCTTCTACTTTGTGTTTTGCATCTTTGCAGGTGCATGGTGTATCTGAACATTTAGAGGCCTCACTCAAACAAGCATAGGATCTTGATGACACATAAAATGTCCGCATAGGATAATTTTGCGTGTTACATTGTTACCAGGCCTCAAATTAACATTGTTTGATGAATCAAGCATGGGAACTGTAGGCTTACGGCTCACACTCCCCAGCTGTACCGATGTTTTTCAACCTCACAGCTGCTCCACGGGTTGGAAATGGTTGGAACGCCGAACCATGCCATGCCAAGTGGCCCAAGCTGCCGAGAGGAAGCGAAGGAAGGAGCGACTGAAGAGGTCGAAGGCATTCGGAGAGGCCAAGTAAAGGGACCAGGCCTTGGACCGAATCGCCGGCACCGAGGAAGGTGAAGCCAGAAGAGACTACTGTAATAATCAGTAATATCATGTAATATTTGTCTTCCTTTTCGAGTCAGCCAAAAGAGCTCAGCAAGCTGGAAACCCGGATCGGGTTTCCGGGTTGGGCGAGGTCGGCATCCTAAGAGGATCCACATCCAAAATGCCTTCGGCACGGTAAACCAAGCCATCTTCAATTTCAGATTGGGACAATCAATGCTTCTCAAAGTGGCATCTTCCTGGACTTCATGAGTGAGCAGGTAGGCCGTAGGCTCTATGCTTTGGTAGATTGAAGCGGTTGGAGGCTTTCACGCCGTCCCAGGTGAACCATGGTGAACGTGTGACAAAGGGCGCCCCGCTGCGGCTAAGCCGACAATGATGGCCGAATGGAAAACCACATCCTTGACAAAGCAAGTTGAAAGAAGAACTCTTCAGGACATGTACATATTCCTTGCAGGGGTTCCATGGCGGGGATGTCAACAAATTGCTTGGGTGCCTCCTATGTATATAATTGGTTTCAAACGGAACACATATACCGCTCATTCGGACATGCACCTCGAAGGATGAACTTTGGACTGTTCAATCAATCAAACCATGCTATCATGCCTGAAAACATAGAAGAATCTCATGCTGCTCTTAGCTGTCCGTTCGAAGGCTTTTAGTTTATCTGCAGGCTTTCTCCTATCGCACGCCAACCCCTTCAAGCAGCTTCTCCTGCCACTTCTCTGGCGGGAGCGCACGTCCAACTCCAGCCAATCTCGCGTGGTGTTAGCGTTCGACAGTTGAATGCGTGACCCAAAAAGTTTGGAAGGCGGGACGGCGGGACACATCTTTTATTCTAAAAGCATATCATCAGTATACATCAGTATCATCCAGGGACCAGCCCCAGAACAACTCCAAAAAAACAAAACATCATCTGAATCAGATCCACAACTCCAAACAAAACATACCAAAACAAGTATGGAAAACAAATACGCCGCTCCCAAAGGACGAATGACCCCACATGCGTCACATGCGTGAGACCAGGCACGGACCAGGCACGCCTTGCCCAAGACAAAAGAAGCGGATCAGGATCTGCCTCTACCTGGTTGGAGGCTGCTGGAGCCAGTGATCATCATACTATAGTAATAGAAATCTATAGAATTCTGAAACATTGATAGAATATGATAGAATAGCATGCATGTGCATACATTGTCATACATATTACATATATAATAGGCTCATCATGTGGATCAAATCTTATTCGGAGACACTCTGCGCGACTCTGCTGAGACGGATTGGTTGGCCCCGAAGAACACAGCCACACAGCAATGTCTGATTCCTCGTAGGATGTCGCGGTGTCATACCACTCGTAGGCGAGCATCGAGACTGGTACTACTCTACATCAGACGGACGGACAACGTCTGAAAACTATGTCAAGAACTGGCAACTGGATAGAAGCATAAGAACTGGTGACATGACTGGAGCGTTTTAGGAGCTTGGACTGGAGCTGCATAGCACATGCTTGCCACCGAAAAGGACCTTCCCCTGTTGTTTCTTCTGAGGCTCTGTGCATGCTCCACAGGCAGTGGTTGTAGATAGCATTGTACGCAAGCCCCACTAGGCCTGAAGCTGGACAGAACATGACTTGTGAAGGACATGTCCAATGCTAGTGATTGCCAGGGTCGTGATTCAACCAATTATATTGCACTCTCCGAACTTCGCGAGTGATATATTGGTAGGTGTAAGTACAATAGATGGGCCCAAATAGGCTTGATTCATCGCAAGCCAACTGCTTCTTCAGTCACTCTTTTCAACGCTGTCATGAATTGGCGCTTTCGAAATGCAATCATTTGAGACCCCAGCAGTTGTGACAATGGCTCGCTTTCGCCTGAATGTCGCAACTGCGCAGTGGCGCACGATCTGCCAATCACTTCAACCCTGAAAGCCAAACTAAGGTGGGGATTAAATCAAGTTCCTCAGAACGCTTTGATTGCATCTACAAAAAGCATCAAAAATCAATCAACACATATTAGATCAAATAATTCAATTTCTTTCGATCTTTCTACCAGATTCCTAGCCGCTCCTCACAACGCCCCTTTGCTCAAGGATCTCAAACAGGCCAGCGCAGGTCCCCCCCTTTTTCGGTCCCCCCACTCAGAAGACGTCCACGAAAAACAAAGCGGACTCGCCTGGGAGAGTGAAACGTGCCGCGCCGTGTGAAACGGCGCCGCGAGCGTCGAGTTCGTCGAGTCAGGGAGTTGCGATGGGGTTTGTGGTCGACTACCATGACTACCACGTGGACGACAGTGAACACCAAAGATTCCAAAGATGGTCAACTTACCATGGCTTTGAGGCAACATGAGGCAACTACTCTCGGACAAGATCGCAATCGGTGCCCCTTTCCTGCCCGTTGGTGGGGGTACAGAAAGGTTTCTACAATGGTAGCATGACGCAAAACCTGCCAGTTGTGAGCGGTTGCGATAGACTTCACCGTACCAACGCGTGCACACACAGTATGTGAAACGTTGACTTTACACAACGGCGGGTATCTCCGGCCCATGTAAAATGTTCAACAGGAATAAACTATGAATCAATTGCCATTGTTGGAACCGAAGTCAGAGTGCCACAAATTGTCGTAGTATCTTAGCATCATTTCACATCTCTGACATCTTTGTAGGCGGCAGGAATATTACTTTTTACCTGCGAAACGGTCTGAGCAACGCTGCGAAAAACCTTCGTCGGA